TTTTTTTTTTTTTTTTTTTTTTTTTTTAATTTTTACGGATAAAAGAATTCTTTTCCAATTAATTTTTAGTTCAATTTAATAATTTTTCTAATTTACGTAGAGAGTTTGCATAAATAAGTAAATTTTTATGATATTTGGATTCATTCTAATAATTTAGCAAGAACAGTTTTGCAATATTAGCTTTTGTCTTTTTAAATAATTACATTTTTTTTTAATATTCTTTCAAAATTATACAGAAAACAAATATAATTAAGGAAATAATTTTTTCTATAAATAGTTAGAATAATTATGATCTTTAAATAGTCAAATTAAAATTAAAGATCATAAATAACGAAATAGCTAAATTATTTCTTTTCTTGCATATTTAAATAAATATATCAATAAATAATTACTTTGAGATCAGTGCTATTTTTTTTTTTTAATTATTTCTTTGTTAAATTATTAGAATCAGCTTAAATGTGTGATGATTGTTCATTAATAAAAATCACTACTTGGCAAAAAGTCAAATAAATGAAAAAAATGAAACATTAATTTTTAATATTTAATGTCCGTTAAGACGAATAATTTTTTTCTTCAAGTTCTATATTATTTCCGCAGAAAAATTCCAATTTTCATTTATTATACCTTTCCCCTTTTTTTTCATGAAGAATATACATTTTTTGTTTACTTTCAATTACGATGTCATTCGCTGAAATCAAACAAGAGCATAAGAACTTAAATGCCGATATTGGTTGAGCAACGAACTGCGGGGGATTATTGTTTAGGTTGAATGTAGCTTGAATATTCCCGTACACACGGTGATTGGAAATCCAATATCGTTGCATTGGCACGAACGAAACTTTCAACCGTTTATAAACTTCAGATGCATTTATTGCCTTTATTTTGCATAACATGCAACCGGAATAAAAATATCCCTTAGAGCTATATAATATTAAAAGCAAATAGTCTAGACGAAATCATTTGAATACTCAATAATAAGAGAAATGAAGAGTGAACGTCTATTAATTTTTAAACATTAAACTTTGTAAAGTTAAATATTTCTTTCCTTCGTTTCATATGAAATTTTGTTCACTTCACTTTTACTATTGCATAAGAATAAATAGATATATCAATCAAAAATTTAGAGTCAAATTTCTAAATTTATAGAAATAGAATTTTACAAAATATTATATAAACAAATTTTGAAACAATACTTGAAACGAAAGAAGAAAAAAATAAATATGACAAAAGTTGAAACTTACCAAGTTCCAATGAAAATTCATAGAATCTTTTCAGCTTGGCGACTAGAGGTGCAACAGTCAGATAAGCTTTTCGTTGACACTCTTCCGTGGGAGCCGAAATCGCCTCCCTGATTTCTTTTCCGGCACCTTTGTAACATTGAATCTCCTCTAAAATAGATTCTGAATTTTTCAAAACTCTTTGCACCGCTTCAAAGGTCTCCCGTTCTATATCGGAAGGTTGTGCATCTAAAAAAATTCGATAAGAAACCCTCTATTATTCCCTAAAAATAGTTTTCTCTTACAAATATCGTCCAATATTTCGACATCGTTTCATTTGTAGTGACAGAAACTTGGGAGAAATCGAAGAAAAAAGTTCAAAGAACGATTGAAAGAAACGATTTATATACGAGTATTCATCCAACTTACTTTCGAAATCCAAAAAGACGTCGTACTTTTGAGGCGTGCAACAGGTAGACTCATCTCGAGCCAGAAGGCTCAAAAGCTTGCCCATCTTCGGTCTGAGGTTTCTTTTCACAGTATTATTTACAACACGAAAGGCATCTAGATTATAACAGAGAAAAATACAAAGTTTAATAATCAATTGGAAAAATAAAATAACTCGCTATTTGGTTTCATTCATTTAGTGAATTGAAAACCGTAGGATGAGATAGATCTTCATTTCTAGTGAAGGGTAGTTTTAAAGTTCGAATTATTTCTCTGTCATTTTAGAGTGTGTTAAATTTTTCATCTTTCTAACTTTGAAGTATTGAAAAATCTTTTAGATGATGAAAAAGTAAATAAATAGACTTGTCAAGTTTTTATCCTATTATATTCTTAAATTATATACAATTTATAGGATAATGCAGAGATTGTTCAGTTAAATTCAGAAGAAAAGATTACCAAAAAAGAAATTACTCGAATAAATTTAACGAGAATAAAATTTATGGAATACTAAAACGAGTTTAATTTCTTACGAAGAATCTATCGATCCGCGTTAATCGGCTCTTTTTAACCCCTTGCCGAAATCGAAATTAGAATTACATTTCTTTAAACGTTCAAGAAGGATTTGCGCATAGTTTTCCTTTACGATTTCACCATCTCGTTATCTTTTTTCGTATAATGATGGTATTAAATATATCTTAAAATATAAATAGTTAATACTCAATTTTCAAACACAACACTATAATCTTTCATTATAATTCTCTCTTTAAACATTTCAAATTATTTTTAATAATAAATTACGCAACAAAAAAAAAAGAAAATAACAGAAAAAAGACATAAAATAACTTGAAAATCGATATACATCGAATCTAATAAATGTCTAATCAAAGTTTTTCGAAGAATATTTGAAGTTGAAGAATATTTTTAAAATATTACTCGGAAAACTCGTTGAGAAATATTATAATACATCACGAAAATATAAGAATGATCGAACGATTGCCAAAATCGATGAGAAAAAAAATGGTACGAAGTACTTACGTACTATGAGACAGTTGGCCTGGTCGGAGTTTGCGTAGTAACTGGTCTGAGTCAGAGCGGAATTTGAATTTCTGGCTCGATTCCTATACTGATCCGTTTGTACATGTCGAAGTGTTAATTCCAGGCAAACGACGCGTGCATACACGTAGTGTTTAATGTACGTACGTGTAAGTATACGTGCACATTAGGCAAATCGCGCGTGTCAGGATCGCAAAGCGAATGAATTCTACGAACTCGTCAACAAGGGATGAACCTTCTGTTAATTCCAACCGATAAAGTTAATCTATGCTGATCTCACCTGAAACGCTTAGGGATTTTAAGAACTTCTCTCACTCGTATAAAGATGATCTAATATTTGATCATTTTTCAACCCTCGTTTGAGAAATCTTTAAAAAAAAAGCAAATTGTAAGTTTATATTTTAGATAATTTATTTAGTTTACTTTTTACGTTTTGTTTTATGCTTTTACTAGGAAAATTTTTCTAATTTTAACTAGAAAGTTTTATGAACTTTTTAATTTTAATTTTTATTTTTATTTTTTTTTTTTTTTTTTTTTTTTTTTTTTTTTTTTTTTTTTTTTTTTTGAATTATGAGTTAGATTTGAGTTAGATTCGATGATGTTGTTCAAGTAAGATTATTAAAAAATTGAAAAAAGAAAAAAATAATAAATTTTCGATACTATAATATAGTATAATAAGTTACAAAATTAATATAATTATATAATCTATATAATTGTTATATCTTACTACACTTCATTTTTTTTACGTGCTAATCATTCTATCGCGCAAATTGAAATAAATTTTAAAATTAAGTAATTCAAACTCTTATGAGTCATGTATTAATATTCAATTAAAAAATATTTCTTTTGCTAATCCAAATAATTATATCAATTTAAATTATCATAATATTAATAATAATAATATTATAAAATATACGTCTCATTTGTACAAAAATTTGTACATATATCATACAATTAATGAATTTGCGTTTAATGTGTGAAATAAAAAGTACATTTTAACATCCAGAAATTATCGCCAATAAAACCAGAAAATTTTATTCTATCGGTATCTGAATAGAAACTCTACGTTTAAATGAAAAGCAATTAGAAACGAGCAGCTAGATAAAGACAATTTTAAATTACCAACGAAACTAGTTTTCCGTGATATAAAGAGACGTTATCAACTTTCGTTGTAAAAAGCAATTAGTTTCGTTTCACTCGCGAAATGCAATCGTATCAAATCGTTTTATTGCCGAAAATAAATTTAAAAAAATCTCCTTTTATCGCGTAAAGTGGTCGTAATCGACGATATGTAGAAACGATAAAATTTTGACGATGAGAAGAGCTCGAGTGAAAGCTTGTCACACACGTGAGGGGACAGACGATCGAGTTTGCTAGATCTAAAATTGTGCACCAAGGGATTCCAATGTACCGGCGAATGTCTCCGTTATTTTTAGCAGAAAATTGTGTGTCCCTTTCGCGAAAGTCTCGTAACATCACGTTAAATCGCTCAGATTCACCAACCAGCCAATTATCTTGAATGAAATCTTTAAAAATACTCCATCGTAACTGATATCTCTTTTCCAGACATATCTATCATCGATCGCTTTTTTATCTCATCGAATATTAAATGCAATCGAAAATAACTTGATCCCGCACGAGGATAAATGTTTACGTTGAAAATTCCGCGGACGATTTAACACAGAAGCGTATCCGGAATCGGGAAAATATTACCACAGTGGCACGGCACAATAATCATCGCTTCCCTCGTTACGATTCCAAACAGCGTGATTCCTTCACGATCAATCAAATACAAACAAACCGTTCCAAACCGTTTCTCAGATATCGCATTTAACGAATCACTTCGCATGCTATTCGCGTTTTAAAATTGAAATCACAGAAGAATAATTCACCCACGATTAAAGAAAAAGTTTGTAAATCGATCGAAAAGGAAAAAAGTAAACGAATAAAATGGAATTAAATTGAATGATAAGAAAAATCGTGAAGGACGAAGACAGGATACGCGGATCTAATAGCACGAAGGATAATTTTATTTAAACGTTGAGAAGAGAGAGTTTTCTCTTGAGAACTCACCGTGAAGAAGAGTCGGCGTGGTCGCATTCGAGAACGCGAATACATGACGCTGACAGGTGCACGTCAAAGGCCGAGGATGGTCAACAAGTATACACGAACCGAGTGCAACAACTGTCATTCAACGGACGGCCATGTTGCTGATCGTAAGGGGTTGCGTTGTATAGTGGCGCGGTTCGAGCCCTTTCCTTATTTGGTAAACGACAGTGGCGGCGTGACGTTCGCGCGAAAAATCAATGGGGGGTTAGTTCACCGGTTCGACCTCAAGGTGACGCTGCTACCACCATTTATTGTCGCTTAGAATTTCGAAATTTTCCTTTGTTCGAAAGATCGAGAGGATTATTGATTTAGATTCGAAAAAATTTTTGTAAGAATTATTTTCAGATAGATTCGAAAATATTTGATTATAGAAATACATTGGGTTTTGAATAATTATAATGTCTTGGGTAGGATTGTTTTATAATAAAGGATTCTGGATTTTTTGTGAAAAGTTTACATTGCATGTAAGCGAGTTTAAATTAATGAGAAATGGTTTGAAAAAGTTTCGAACTGAAGTAAATTGCGGGTAATTGTTGTAG